TAAAAATACATAAATATAAAAATAGATAATAAAAATAGATATAAAAATAGAATAACAAACATAAATAATACATAAGCGAAGTAAGAAATAAATCAATAAGATAAAATATAGAAACAGAGATTAAATAAAAACCTAATGAGTCATAAAGCAAAGATAAAAATGTGAAACAAAAATATAAACATTAAGACATTTTTAACCTCATGATGTAATTGTTACAAAAATTGTTTGGAACAAATATAAACAAAAAAAAAAAAAATGTAAAAAGACTTGGCTGGTTTTGGAATTCTACACTTCACATGTTTTTCATTAAATTAATAAAATATAACCTAATAAATTAAATATTTCCTATATATATTCATAGTAAACGCAAATTAAATAATTAAAATTTACGTAAGGGTAATGAATTTACTCAATTTTTTTTTTAATTTATTCATGATATTTACAACTGTATTAAAAAATTAAATACATTAAGTAAATTTGATAACAGAAAATAATAACATGAAATGACTTGTTGATAAACTACCCACTGGTAGCACTCTAACTCAAATCTCAATCGAAAATTTAATAACAAGTGCTGATTAATAAATAACAATTTAAAAAAATAAATAAAATAAGATACTAAAACAAATTTGTATTACGTTTTAATTTGTCTATGTTATTTTGTCTCAAGATTGAGTATATCATCAGTATCATACAATATAGGTCAACACTAAATTCATACTATGAAGGTTGTAATACGTTTAGTCTTTTTTCTATTAGAATATACAAAACGAAACATCTAGGATTTGAGTTTAGGCCACTTCGTAATAAGGTGGCGTTTACTTGTAAAAAGCAAACACGCAGAACAGACAGATGTTTATTTGTTATTTATTTATATGATAAATATTCAATATTTTGTATCTTACAGTGTCGAATGCATATTCGCCGTAAACCATGCAGCTGATCGAGGAAATTGGATAGGAGGTGCAGGTATGGATGTCTCTGTTATCAATTAATTTCCTGGCTGATACCAATTAGGCGAGAGACAATCCATTATAGCCACACCCAAACCCTGCCCTTATCATCATGTTATGCAGGTCCAGGTTTTAGCATAATTTAAATAAATAGACAAAAAAGTATAGCTTTTTTCATGCCTATATTTTTACATAATACATTATACGTTAGTAAAATGTATAGAACTCAAGATTAATCTAGAGAAGAATAATGTATTGAAAATCGGATGGATTTACCAAGATGAATATTGCTGGGTCAGTTTAAGATTACGTACCCATGTTTTAAAAATATTATCCATGTAAGTGTAATATTATGTCTCATGTTTTTGAAGTAACAAACATTTTTTAAATACAAATAAAATTCTGGGGTGTGTACAACCCGGTAACTAAAAATTTTGCAGAATAGCTCTGGGTAATTAAAGGAAAAATCAATTAGCTTAGATCCACAAATTATGAGGGATCGATGTTGAGTACGTCAAATCGATACAAAATCATGCAGCTTGTGACCTATGCATGAAAGGACATCTTTCCAACTGTAAAGGATGCTAAATCTACAAGAATTCACATCCTATTTCAGAAAGTCCAGATCCAAAATAAAAACAGACTATAAGAGTCTGCTTTAAAAGTGAACATTATTTATTCCTGCATGTCATTCCTGCTATTAAACAATAAATATTAGAACAATTTTTTTGTTTTTTAAAAAACTCTTCTATTACCTTCATATTCTTTCCACCATAAGAATTTGTCTGGCGGTCTTCCATGAGCAGATGCTCTTCCCAGGTTAAGTGTGATGGCCCCAGCTTAAAAAGTGAACTGTACAGTTCATTCGCACAACTACGTACTTAGAGGTAAGAACCCAACCGATAAATATGATGCCCTGCCGCAACAACAACCTCAACTCCAACATCAATATCATATCCCTCCTAATGTACCTAACCATCAACAACCTCATCAACATCATATTCCTCTTCCATCAAATCCAACAGGTCTTACTAGTTTGTTGGGATCATTCCTCTGTGAATTCAAATCCCTTTTTTCCCCGCAGCACTCAGCTAAAAAACAGTTCGCCGCACTCTTGTGAGTCTAAAAAAAATCGTAGCAAAATACATGAAGTAATATTATAATGAAATCTTTAACCATGCGTGCAATGTATGTGTACATAAACCAAATACAACTTCACCCAGATATTATCTAAAATTTGAATGATTTTAATTTTAATTATTAGAATGTATATTCACCAAATTGACAATTTAGAAATTAAATATTGATATTAATTATTACTACCGCGGCACCTCTAGCACACGCTTGCAGCACTCTTGAGAACTGCTTCCTCCCAATTTGCGAACCCCCTGGTAGAGGTGCCCGTAGAGAATGGGGTTATATGGCGCAACTTGCGCCAATTCAATTTTTGAGAGGGGGGAGGCATTCCGATAGGGTTATGAATTTTCAAAATGAAAAGTTTCTAATTAAAAGACAAGTGGAAGCATGGAATAGACTGCAGGATGTTTACTTGTATATAATCTACGAATATTTAAATTCTACTTTCGTTTGGACTGTTTTTAAGAAGATAGAGGAATAAAATATCTTTAAAGGAGTGGATTTATGAGCCATACGCATTGGGGTGGGGGAGATGGTCATTCCTATCCCTAGGCTTAGGCTATTTTAGAGTGCCTCCAATGATAGCTAATGGTTTTGTATTACGATTTAATTTATAATAATAAAAATATTTGAGGTTTTTGAATCAATTTTGATGTAAAAATCTTGAAATTGAAAATAAGAAATTTTTTTTGCGGCTTGGCAACGATTTCAAAAAATGAAAAATCATTAAACTCTTATCAATAATGTAATACTCAAAGTAAAATTATTTATTTATTTTAGTAATTCTTGTGTACCGTTTTAGAATATTTATCTTTACTATTATTTTCATCTATTTTTTGCCATGCACAGTAAAACTATAAAATGATAAATTGTTGACTGTAACATATGAGTAGGTGAATTAAGATCGAATCATCACTCTCTCGAAATTTCCACAATAGGAACATCGTGACCAATGGATTCTTCTGACTCACATTAGCAGTTATGAAATAGCTAACAGGTGTGAGTGCCTGCGTCCTCAATCGCTAAGAGAAAGGTGTTGCGTATTCAATGTGGTTCTATAGATCCTTAGACAAATAGAAAATGTGAGTGACGTGACAACTGACTCGTTATTATTCTGATTCGCAGTGGTATAGTCAGGATGATGTACCCGTGCGCGTGGGTATATTTGCGTATTTAGATATTAATGTATTGCTGTGAACTTTTCGAAACGATTATTTCTATGAGTTTTAAAATGACTGATTTTTATGTTTATATCAGACTCCATTCTCTAATAAGTAATAAATGTATCCAAAATCAATGAACTCACAACAAAATAACATAGTAAAGATATAGTAACATAACAAAAGATTTATAAAATATGATTGTCCCTATGTACTAGACCTCACGTAATAACCATATTGTATAAAACAACCGTCTATTTGCTATTTTCAACTTTTATCCTTATCGATATTTATAAAATTTCATACTAAATTCGGAGATTACCTTAGGATGATCCTCAAAGTTCAGCATTACCAACCGTCATTGTTATTTTTGTTTAAAAATGGATGATTATAAAATGTAAGTTTGTATACGTCCTCAAACCTTAAGCCAATTCGTTTTTGGAATATAGGCGTGACAAGGAAAATACGTTAACGCATGGGATGGAATTGGATACATATGATACAAATTCCAAATCTTAATTCAGATTTATTCTAAAACGGACGTGTTCTTTTTGAAAAAATGTGTTTGTACATTTTGCATTTTGTATTTCATTTTTCGTATTCATCATCTAGGTGTCTATTCAAAATGGCTCTGAAATTTTTAATTAACGGTTGTAGATGTTATATCCACTCACATGAATTTCAGGTAAATCAGCGGATAAACACGTAACAAGATCTGTTCATAGGTTCCTAAACGTAAATGCGAATCAGATTTTCAGTTCTGAGGCCAAAAAGATTTTATTTCCCCTATTGCTACAAATACTTCCATACATTGTCTAATGAGAAACGGAAATTAATTTGTAAAAAATTTTTTACTAATTTAGCAATGAACTTAGGAAAATTGGCTGAGGGCAGTAGTACTCTAGTAATTTAAATAAAAATGTAGTCACAATCAGAACTATAAAGGTCAAACGACTATTGAGTTTTCTTTTAAGTTGGTTAGCTACTTATAAGTTTTACTAAAACCTTGAAACTATTCAATTGTACGATCGACATTAAAAGTAATTTTAGAAGTTCCTGATAGTTGTCCGTGTCATGTTCCATCGTCAAAGTTCGACAGGTTTGCTGTTAGTGCCCCGAGAACTATCTGGAACTGAGGCCCCAATGGAAGTGAGTTTGGGCGAAGGTCCCATAGCTGCTCGGAGCAGTGACGGTTCAATTCCCATCGGGGTCAGCTTATGTCATTTATATCATGGAAGCCTCTCCTGGTTAAAAGGAAATGGTAACCTTTTGGTTTTAGTGTCGTGTATTCAAATTTTATAAACTATACGTCCTTAATAAACATATACCTACAATTTGAACGGATAATGTTACATATCAGTGTGGTCTAGACCTCAGTTCAGAGCGTATGATAAAAGTTCAGTCAGTTTATAGTTAGTGATTTTCGCAGTTTTTAGAAGGAGTTCGGTCATAATTTTTGGTTAGAACCAACTATTAATCGTGTTATATCCACAGACAGGAAAGATTCTTCAATACAACGCCGTTTCACGTCAGAAGAAGAAAGGAAAAATCATAATTTTAGTCGGCTTAAGGTATTTATTGCAGGCATTCTAGATAAGAATATAGGTGGGGAGCGCATGCGCATAAATAGGACTAGGTACTAGATATCTCAGTGTTTCCAGTGACGAGGTTGGGATAACGTCAATTTTTTTACCACGTTACTTACGTAATTTTTTTTTTTTCTCTTTCTTCTTTTCTCTCGCTTATCAAGATGGTTTTATGCCCAATCTGTAAACAGACCATAGCAAGAGAAGAAAAAAAAACAATGGCATGCACTGTCCCAACATGTCAAGCCATTTTCCATGGAAAATGTCTAAACGCAGACGAGAGTGAGTTTGAAGCACTGAGGGCATTACGAAAAAATTGGGAATGCCCGAAATGTGAAAAGGCACGGAAAAATATCCAACCGACAGACAAGTGTCTCAGCCCGCCAAGATCGGCGCCACAACAACAAACTGTCGACAGCACGTCACAACTGTTACTTGCTGCCATTAAAAATTTAACAGAAGAGGTAAAGGGATTAAAATTCTCCCTCGATGCCAATGCTAACGAGGTGAAAGAATTAAAAATATCTCTCGAAAAGCAAGCATCCATAACTTTTGAGAATGCGGCGAAATTAGACTCTATAGAGTCACTACTGGAGGCTCAAAATTCCAAGATTGACGGACTGGTCTTGGAAAACACGACTCTCAAGTCTCGGGTCTCGGAGCTCGAAATCAGGCTCAATAAAAGTGAGCAACTGCACCTTTCCAGGTCAATAGAAATAAGAGGAGTCCCAGTGAGATCTGGAGAGACCCCGATGGGCCTGGTTATGAGCGTGGGGGCGGGCCTGGGCCTTAGTCTAAAGGTGGAGGACATTGACTATGCAGAACGGATAAGAAACAGGCAAGACGATACACCTGGGCCGCTTGTGGTAAGGTTCGTCCGGCAGTCGCTTAGGGATGAGTTGATCCAGAGGCGAAAAGTCATTAGAGATTTTTCAACACGTCACCTCGGATGGCAAGAAAATGACGCCCACAAGATCTACCTGAGCGAAGCTATGTCCGTAACCAACAGACACCTGTACTGGCTGGCCCGGCAAAAGAGGTCTGCAGGAAAAATCAGGTACAGTTGGTTTAGCGCAGGCAAGGTGAAATGTCGACGAGACGATGGACAGCAGGTCGTCGTCATCAACTCACCATCAGATTTAGAAACGTTTGCTTGACATGCATATACATGTTACAACACTTTGAACAATTTTGTTTTTACTTTTTTATATCCCCAGTTTTATGTTTTTGTTGCGTTTGTTTTAATAATAGACTATGATAATAATTTCATTTTTGTTTATGAGAATATTTTAGGTCTGATCTGTCCAGAAACTCTAATTTGTGTATTTTTTTTCTTTTGCACAATAGGAATATGCTTTTCGTTAACTAAATTTTATATTTTTTGTTTACCATCCTTATTAATATCTAGGAGATCTTGCACACAATTGGCTCTAGCTGCTGTAGAAATATTCCTATCCTTAACTCCTTCTGTCCGTTTACCAAGCCACCCCTCCTTCTTCCATGACTAATATCCTTCTAACCTGCCACGTCAACGCTCAGTCACTCTTAGCCCATTTTGATGAATTTTACGACTTTTTTTCTCCATAACTTCTACCATTTAATTGCCGTATCCGAAACCTGGTTGAAACCCACAATCCCGTCCTCCCAGATCCTTCTACCTAACTATACTCTCCTTCGTCATGACAGAGTAGATCGCACGGGTGGTGGAGTAGGTCTCTTTGTCCATGACAGTCTCAAATCCAAAATTCTTCACTGCTCTTCCATAACCGATTCTCCGCACGTTGAATACCTTTTCGCCGAAATCCTCACCACCTCATCTGCCATTCTGTTTGCTGTCATATATCGCCCTCCTAGAATTCCTTTCGATGAATCACTTGAGACTTTATTGTACAACTTAATCCCTTCCTACTCAAACATCATCCTCTCCGGTGACTTTAACACCAATTTACTGGCACCATCCTCTGATTATTCCTACCTAACAAACCTCTTTAATTCTCTCAGCCTTTACATAGTACCCTACAATCCAACCCATCATACTCAGTATTCAGAGTCCTGGCTCGATCTAATTATCCTGGATTCCTCAGACAAACTCCTTGCCGCATCTCAGCACCCGGTTCCGTTTCTATCTTCCCACGATCTTGTCCAGATCTCTTACAATGTCCCTGTTCCATCCTTTTCTCCCCGAACAATATCCTTCCGAAACCTAGATTATCTCACTCACGAAACATTGTCAGAAGGTCTTGACGATATCCAGTGGGATCCCATCTACTCCTCAAAATCCATAGACACCATGGTAGAAATCCTAACCACTCAACTTCACTCTATCCTCGACCGACATGCTCCTCTTATCACAAAAACCATCCGATATCCTCCAGCTCCTTGGCTTACCCCTGCTTTGAGGGAGTGTATGAGAGAAAGAGATGCTGCAAGGCGACGGTTTAAACGAACTCGACTTCCTGATGATTTTCTCTCCTACAAACAGCTTCGAAATAGCACTCAATCAGCAGTACGCCGTGCTAAATCCCGTTACTACCATCATTCCCTATCCAACTCTCCCAATACCAAGGCTACGTGGGCTATTCTTAGAAAACTGACCATTGGTAATACACCCCAGTCTCAGTCCAATTCCGTTTCTGCTGATAACCTCAACGCTCACTTTGTCTCCTGTCCTCTTGCATCCACATCTCCCACGTCCAGTCTGGCTCCTATGTTCTCTTCCTTTAATCCTGATCACTTCTTTCTTTCCCATATTACACCAGATGAGCTCCTTAAATCCATTCAGAAGTCCCATACCAATGATTACGGTCCCGACAACATCCCAGTCAGACTGATTAAAGCCGCATTGCCATCCATTCTTCCGATCCTTTATCATATATACAATTATTCTCTTCAAAATGCTACCTTCCCTACATCCTGGAAAACCGCCCTAGTACGCCCATTGAAGAAGACTTCAAACCCATCAGTTCCTAATGATTTCCGACCGATTTCCCTCCTTTCAAACCTCTCAAAACCATTAGAGCGGTTAGTCCAATCCCAGCTATCCCATTTTTTAGAGGACAATAATCTCCTAAATCCCTACCAGTCTGGATTCAGGCCTGGTTATTCTACTCAGTCTGCCCTAATCAAAATTTCCCAAGACCTTCACACAGCCATAGATCAGCAGAAACTAACCATCCTTATTCTCCTAGACTTCTCCAAAGCTTTTGATTCAGTAGACCACAACATCCTCCTAACCAAACTTAAAAATATCTCTTTTTCTTCTAGTTCCCTTAATTGGTTCCAATCCTTCCTAACCGGTCGCTCCCAGTACGTTGTAATTCCTAATAACCCACCATCAGAATCTCTACCTCTGACCAGAGGCGTCCCACAAGGCTCTTCCTTATCCCCCACCCTTTTCTCCATCTATATAAATGACCTCCCATCCTCTATCCTGCACTGTCATTACCACCTGTATGCCGACGACATTCAAATTTACCTCTCCTTTAATCCGACAGATATCTCAGATGCCACTCAAAAACTTCAGGAAGATATTGACAGAATAAGTGCTTGGGCAAACCTCAATAGGCTCACTCTGAACGCCGAGAAGACAAAAGCCATCTTGATCGGATCCCCTTCACTCCTCAAATCCTCCCCAGTATCTCCCAATCTCTTCCTGAACAACTCACCTATCTTATTCTACACCACCGTTAAAAACCTAGGTGTTACTTTCGATCAATCCCTATCCTGGAAACCTCACATCTCCCAAATTTCCCGTCGCACTATCTCCACACTAAAACAGTTCAATCGTCTACGATATCTCCTTCCATATAAGTCCCGTCAACTCCTAGTTTCCTCCCTTGTTTTCCCCCACTTCGACTACGGCTGTATGGTGTACGGTGGACTCCCGGGAGATTCCGAGGCCAAACTTAAACGCCTAATGAATTGCGCACTACGATTTGTTTTCGGAATCTCAAGGGATACGCATATTACCCAGTATTACACTGAGTTGAGGTGGCTCTACCCATCCTATCGCCGTCAGTACTTCCTAGCCACCTTTCTGTACCAAATTATTAGAACCCATCGACCCTCCTACATTTTTCACAGCTTACAATTCAAATATTCCATCCAATCCCGTCCCACCAGATCTCGTACTTCCGACCTCTATCCTCCTCCTCACCGAACTGCTGCGTTTGACAAATCCTTTGCAATACAAGCCGCCTCCCTCTGGAATTCCATCCCACCTGATATTCGACACGCTCAATCAGTTTCCTCGTTTAAACCACTCCTCTTTAAGCACCTACTCCTTTCTCAATCCGAATGATTGTGAAATATATCTCAGAGAAATATCTGAGCACCACCAGAGAGTACCTCAATTTATTAAGGTTATTTTAGTTTCTCATACATATGTACAATTTACTTGTTCTTTTTTTTTCTCTTTTCTGTATTTTTATCGTAAGTCAACTTTCATTGTAAATATACAATTCAATTGTAGCCACACAGACATATAATCTGTATTCATATTTTGTTCTTAAGGGACAACAGTCCCAGAATAATAAAACATTTTTTTCATTTTCATTTTTCATTTCATACCGATTTTGTACCCCTTATTAGCATTGCCCAAAATTATTGCATTTCGCCAGACCAAGACCAAGACTAATAAAAAAAAATCCTTTTTGTGAATAAATTAAGGCAAAATAGTTACTAATATTAGACAATTTTAGTTAATTTTAACTCTTATAATTTTTCATTTATTTTTTACTTAGGGTTTCCCATTCTGAAAAAATTCAGTAATATCTGTAACGTAATAAGCTAATAGGTAGCTGCAAGACTCTTACGAGACTCTCGCGCAAAACCAAAACTGAGTGAGACCAAAAAGTGTGCTAGAACAAGACTTATCTTGTTCTCGCATATGGGAAACACTATCCCTAATCATATATATATATATATATATATATATATATATATATATATATATATATATATATATATATATATATTTTACAACCCATGGAGTCTCTTAAGTTTAGTACTTTGTATGGAAGTACTATTTCTTGGTCAATTGTTGTAAAAGGGAGTGATTTGAGCTAGATCCCTCACATGCACTAGGTTTATTGTGCTTGATAAAGTATTTAATTACTAATGCCCACATTTTTGAGGCTGGTAAAATATAATATACTATGACTTGCAAATCATCTCTAGATTTATGGTCATATCACTTAAAAATAAATAACAGTAATTTTGTGATCTCTTATTTATTTATCACCCATGATATATAGAACAGTCGACTTTTGTTCTTTTTTTTTCTTTTTTTTTTCCTACCCCCCAGGAATTTCTTTATTACAAAGTACAATATATAAATGTATGTATACATAATTTTTTTTTATTTCCTTTTATTGCCCAAGGGCATTTTAAGGTAAGAAGGTTATGCACGCTGTATGCGTACTTTGCATCTGTGGCCCTTAGGGGAGGTACGATGTGTCGCTGTGTCATGAAGTGTACATTCAGTACTACAATAAAATGCAAAAAAAGAACAGTCGACTAACTTTCTCCGGTAACATAAATATATAATTCAGAGCAAACAAAGCGAGATAGTCACAACAAGTCATCAATTCTGACTAAACTAAAATTATGGCTACCTCTACTAATTATGTACGTAATAAATATTTATATGAATGAACAATTTCTCTTGCAACTTGTGCCTGTGCCATAGATACTGTCAATATGTTATCAGTTGATAACTTACTCAAATTCACAATCCTGCAACACGTTGCAAGCTAGAAGAACACGGTTGGGAGGATATCGACTCCGGCAAATGCAAGGAATCGTGAACACCTGACATCATTCGGTCACGAAAAGGCTTCCATTTGTCCAATGGGCTTGCGTGCTAGCTTGCTATTTGTCATTTACTGTTTTTCCGAGCGGTCTAAGGGAGATGATGGGGGAATGTAGAAGACTATAAAAAGGATTCTGCTTGGCTGTCACGTGAACGACTTTTGAAATGGAATGAGAAGTAATCCTTATACTGGATATATATTATATATCCTTATACATATCATCCTGACGATAATGAAACTGACAAATCAAGTATCACCTGCTGCCTAGCTTTCTCACTCACACGTGGTTAAATTGAAGACAAAATACAAAGAGTATATTTTAGGTTCAATAATGTGATTTGTCTATGTTTTGTATTCTGATGATGCCTAGTTGGTAGTGTTACCCAAAATTGGTCTTGATCTTGCGCATTGCAAGACCAAGACAGCCTGACTGTTACAAGACCAAGACTAAAAAATAATCCATTTTTTAAAATAAAAATTAAGGCAAAATAGTTACTAATACTCGACAATTTTAGATAGTATAAGTAAAGAATACTTTTGCATTTAACTCCTCTATTTTTCATTCGCGCTTAGTTAGGTTTCTCTTATCTAAAAAATGACAGTAATATCTCTATAGTAATAAACTAATAGGTAACTGCAAGACTGTTGAGAGACTTTTGCGCAAGACCAAGACCATGACCAAGAGTGAGTTTGCAAGACCAAGACTCGTCCCGGTCTCGCATTTAAGCAACACTACTAGTTGGATTCAACATTGAACGGTTAATTATACAATATCCAATTTGGAAAGATTAAAAGTTTTGTCTTCGCCTAAGTGAAAAATGGTTTTAAATAATTTTACGTAAACCAATGACTTCCTGTCCTTCAGTATCCTTTAACAACACCTCACTTATTCCTATTGAACAAATCCGTTACCTAGGACTCCATCTGGACAAACGTCTAACGTGGAATCCTCATACCAGACTGAAACGACATGAAACAGTTCGACGTTTCCGACTACTTCAACACTTACTAGACAAACGCTCTAACCTTCCAATCAATTATAAAAGACTGATTTACATGACTATAATAAGGCCTATTTGGACTTACGGGGTTGAGCTATGGGACTCCACCAAGCCTTCAAATTCCTCTCGCATACAGTCCTTGCAATCCAAAATCCTTCGTAAAATCCTAAATGCTCCTTACTTTGTTACAAATAAAATTATCCATAATGACCTTAATGTTCCTTATGTATCAGATTTGGCCCAATCCAGATATCTGTCCTTCCATAATAAACTTCATAACCATCCCAACCCTCTTGTCTCTAACCTTGCTTCCTATTCGATTCCTGATAACGTCTGAAAAGAAGATGGCCACGTGATCTTCTAATATAGACATATTATTAGAGTGCTACCAATGGGTAGTTTCTCAACATGTGTTCCATGTCTTTATACCAATGTATTTTGTATTGCGAATTTACCAGATGTATTTTTGTATACAGTTGTAAATATCATTTAAAATAAATAAAAAAAAAATAATAATTTTATCTGTTAATCGAACTTCACAAGATTATTGCAGGCCAAAACTTCTGATTTGTTTAACATAGTTGCAGCAGCATCGGATTCCAACAATTTTATTGAAGGCTCCGGGAATCTGACATTATCTCTTATTTATAATTATCTCAACGTATGATCTTATTTTAAATTTAGTTAAACTTTATCACAACTATCCGGAGAATGTACTATCCAGGGGTTGAAACTCTTATGGATTTTTTTTTAATTTCTATTTTAACAGTTTCTGTGAAACTTTTTAGGAAAAAAGTTCTTAAAATAAAATTTCCACGTTAATGCTAAAAGTTTAACTTTTACTCACTGATATATATCGATGACCTGTTTCTTGTTCACATTGTACGTTCTTGAGTTACACCAATGGTACGCGTTTGATAGTTCGATAACCAGTGTTTCTAAACATTTCAATCATTGGTAATCCATTTTTTAATTAAATTTAATTTTGTAATTAAAGTGATCCTCTCACTCACTCTCTCTCTCTTTTATGAAGATGAATCTTTAATGCAAATGTAATAAGAATAGAGAGTAAATGTATTCAAATTGCAAATATCCTTGACGATTCAGTTATTTATTTATTACATTACATAGATGCTGTACAGGGGTGCCCATCCCCTCCCCCCCCATAAAGTCGATGGTGCAAAAACCTACCCTCCCCCCTCCTCCCAAGATATTTTATTGCTCAAATTTTCTTAAAAATTCTTAGATCATATACAATTAGACATACGGCGGTCTGTTCCATGTTTTCTCCTTGTCCCCAAATACGAAAAGTCATAACCCCATCGAAATTTGCCCGCCTCAAAAATTTTAATGGTGCAACTTGCGCCAAGAATCTCCCTTCTGGGCATCCCTGATGCTGTAAAACTACTAGCAAATCACTGGAAAGCAATAGTCCAACAAAGGGAGGGATGGAGAAGGTTAGTTAAGGCGTCGGTCAAAAGATATACAAGGTTTGAAGCAAACAGAAAAAAAAATTACAGATTACATACGGCAGACAAGCCCAGTGCTCAGATATCAAGAGCTTATATATTTCAAATTCTTGTTTAGGGAGGTAAAGAAGAAAAAAAAGTTTCATAATTATTAACCTCTTTTTTAATTCTCGTATATAGGTCATGGTGTTGATATCTTTTCGACTGCTTCAATGTCTTCAGTATAAAAGGAGAGGTGAACAAAAGTTCAACAGATCAGCCCACGAAGATTTATGGCGACAGACCAATTGGCTCGATAAATTCAAGTTGATAGGTTATGGAGGTATTTACTAACAATTGTCGAGGTCAAAGCGTGGGCTAAAGACTGCTCTCCGATATTTCTTCGTTAATTCTTAATGTCCCCTAAAACTCTATCTAATGTTGATAAAATAAATAAAATTTTAATTATAATTACCAAGAGAGCACTCAAAACAACAAACGACCTAAAAGCGCAACAACAATGTTGAAATCATATCCTTTAAATATTCACAATACAATATAATTTTTTTTTGATTTAAAATAATATCATCAGATTAATTATTCTTTTTGATTAAAATATTTTTGTTGAAATTACTTTTGTTAAAACTTTTCTCTTTAATTATAATTATCAGATTTGTGAATAATCGTCAAGAATTATAACATAAACATTCAAACATTTTTATTAAATATTTTTTGCAGGTTGCACTTACATTAGTGGTGAAACATGAGACATGAATGGACACAGCCAAATGCCTAATGCCTTCACTGAAAATAATGATCGATTATAGGTTTCTTACTAACTAAATAAAATTCAGAGGATATCTAGGGGATAAAATGTAATCAAAAAGAACAAAGTCGCAATGTACATAATAATAAAAAAAACTGTATCACTATCCCCATTACCCATGAAGGGTCTTGGGTTCAGTACTATTTAGGGAAACACTGTTTCTAGGTCAACGGTTGTGCAAGGTGATTTGACCAATATCACGCTCAACCGCCAGATTTTCCCCTTAATCAATTATTTAATTAAGGGTACCCATTTTGTAGAGGCTGGGTGTGGCCCAGGAGGGTCGCCCCACGGCTAATAAAACAGATAAATAAATTTTCTTCCATGAACCGGGGTTCGAACCTGTGCATTGGAAGCTCAGTACGTACATAATAATAAAGAAGTACTATTTTTTCTATATTATTTTTTAAAATAATCTAAAATATTGAAAGAATATAATAAATAAAAAATATTTTTCTAACCTAGTTTTCAGGCGTCCTGCAGTTAAGGTCAAATCGTCAACACAAAGAAAATATTTGTTTTATGTATATTCACATTTTACTGTACACACTACCAAAAGTATCATTCTACTTTCCTAACAGTTTTTTTTTTTTCGTAGCTCCTTTTTATTTATTTTTGTCTTGAATTCTTGGATTTTCATTGCCTTCATAATAGTCCTTTTACTGCTTAAAAGCGTTGTAATGTATATTTTTGATTTTTTTTTTTTGTCGTTTCTGAGTATTTTATTGTACATCTGCAATATAAAAAGTGATGGGGCTCACCTCAGGCTTGAGTTGACCTTATACTCTAGAGCTTACAACTAAATTAAAAAAACATCTATCTCATGTAAGTTGTTGCCAACGTTTTGGAATTTTGGCTGGTAATAAGTAGTTGAAAAGAGAGTTTGCCAATTGTTGAGACTTTTCGAAAAATGATTTTTATTTGTTTTGAGAGAAATTCTTCAATTGTTGATAAATTTAGTGTTGCTTTTATATCCAATATCTTCATTCTCTGCATCGTGGTTCCTCTTATTATATTTCTAATTATTTCATTTTGGAAATATTGTAATCTTTTCGCAGTAATTTTGCTGACATGATCAGTTTCTTAATTTCACTTACCTATATATGAAATATATAGTAAGGGAAATATTGGGATTGTGCACATTTTTGGATCCGAGTTTTCAACGGAAATACTATCAAGTGGGTCCTCTAAGTCCATGTTTTGTAAAACATACTTTGTGTGGGTGTGTAAATGAACAGCCTAGTTTAAAAACAAAAACTCGTAAGAAAGTGAAATTACATATTTAAGATAGCTATATGGCTGAGAACTCACAGCAATCTTTTGGCTAACATCCACTTATCGGAAGTGACATTTTAATAATTTTATCAAAAACGGCTCCAACAATTTTGATTAAACTCTTTATATCAGTGTAAAAGTGAGTATTCTTTGATGTTAGGTAGGTATTATTCTCATTTAAATAAATCTAACATAGCTTATATTCCAAATTTTCAAAATTTCTATCCCTGAAGTATCTTTGATTTTATTTCAATATCTATTTCAAATACGAACACGTGAATGACAAGAATGCAAACAGAAGAATAGGCTTTATGTGTATGTTATATGTTATACAGATACATATAATTGTAAACTGAAATTACCACCTGGTATATTTACATTAGGTTAAATTATTTATTATTTTATAAAAAAAAATACAATGAACAGTTTAAAAATTATTAGTGATTAAAATAAAAATATGCAGGTATCTCTACAATACACTAATGTTAATTTAGATAATATTTATCGAAAACCAGCAAACAAAAGGAAGGAATACAAAAGGAGAACCAGTCCAGTAATCAAATAGAAACACTCCTGCTGGAAGTGTTTGTTACTGGAAGTCTTTTGTTTCCTAACTTTTCCTCCATGGGGCTCTCAACTATTATAAAAGATCTGAAATGAAAGAATTGTGCCTCATCGCTACAGAACAAAATCGAAGGTATTTAGTTAGTTTTTCATTAATTTTCGAGTTTTTTTTTATAATCTCATCTATATATATATAAATGAATGTATGTCTGTCTGTTTGTCATCCATGAAACTTCGGGAAGTTGTTCCGTACACTCCTGGGAATGTTTCTGGCATAGTACTTCTGTCTTATGATAATTTTATATATGTAAACAAAATAAAAATGTAAATGTTTTTTCTGTTCAAAGCTCAAAAAAATGTGTCTCTATAAACTGTATCGCCAAAACGGCTTTACCGATTTTAACGAAACTTGGCTAAAGTCTTCCCCTTGAAACCTTTTTAATTTATGTGCATAACATACTTTCCCGAAAAAAAAGCTGAAAAATGTTAAGACGAATTCAATATTCTATTTGCCGATAACTAAAAAAGTACACAATTTTTGATTGATAATACCCATATTTATTTGGAAGATTCCTGATTTGCAGACAAAATAAAAAAAAATCATCGAAATCGGACGGTTCGTTGCAGAGTTATAGAATTTTAAACATTTACTGCTTTCTCTTCAGAAAAGGCCATTTCCTTTTGCTTCCTCACTACCGAAGGTCGGTAAGCATTTTTTTATTTTTTTTTTTTTTATTGATTAATCGAAAATTTTATAATTATTAGAGTAATTGAAATTATCATTTGAAGAAGTTATATGATTTTCCTTATGTAGGTCAATACTATTATACGTTCTTCATATTAATTTTTTAATTTAGTTCAACTCAGACTGTTTCTGATGATTATGAATGACGGCGTATTCATTCAGATGATTATGAATGTTCAATTTGAATCATGAGAAAAAAAATCATTAGAATTAGTTTAAATTGAAGCCATTTTACAGACAAATTTGTTTCCCAACTTTTTAAAAAAGACAGATGTCCTTTGCTACTAATCTACTCATATGTGCTTTCTATTTTCTTTCTTTTTCATTTTGCCAGGCTAAGCCACAGCAGCGCGTGCCCGTGTAAAGCTAGCTTATAACTAAAAATATATTCAATAATGTAAAACGGATAACTATTACAACTTTAATTTATTTTTTTAGATCGGATTAGTTTTTATTTTGTCAAGTAGTTACTTTATTGATCCTCTCGGCACCTGAATTTATGGCTTAGGAAAACATTCTTTAGAAAATCGATTCGGTGTCTTATCGTTTGTCGGAACCTATTCAATACTAAAATATAGGTAGTGAATGATATAAATTAGTAAGAACTGTCATACTTCCAACTGGTAAGCGTAAATACATTACATCTTTTAAAGGAGTGGTATTTATTCGATCTGAAATCAATAAGATCTTATGTATTTTAAATTTTTTTTTTTTTTATTTAGACATACAATATTCTGTCACAGAGACAATAATTATATTGATAAATGAACACATTCACACCGTATATACAAAAAAAAAAAAAAATTAACAAAGTAAAACAATAACTAAATAATAATAAATAAAAACTATATACAATAAAAAAAACCTAAATATAAGTAAATTAAAAACATAAAAATACAATCATACCTATTATAAAATACAATATATACAATCAGGCGGGGAACCCAAATCCCTGCGCTAGTCTCTCAACCTCCTCACCGGTACTAAAGCCGGTGGAGTTTGAGTGAGAGCGCTTTAGCCACATACACTCATGTTTTGAGTGGAGAATCTGGCCATTGCCAGAACTACAAAATAAATACCATAAAAGATCTCTGGGCCACTGCCGCTTTAATCTTCGAGGAGGGTTGTAGGGATGAGTGGAACTAGATAGGGATTGGGCTAGGGGATTTGGATGATTGATAAGGTTCTCATGGAATTTTGAAAAATTATCAGGGATAAGGTCAAGGACAAATGGGATATTAAGGTCATGATGTAGGGTTTTGTTGGTTACATAGAACGGAGCATCGACTATTTAAAAAAATAAAAAATAAAATCATTTTTTTTCATGTGGATTAAGGTTTTTTTTTTGGTTTTTTTTTTCAAAAATATAGTTTTTGTTATACATAATTAGTGCAAATGGTCGTATGTAACAAATTCTATTTATACTAAAGGTGATATTTTGTAGTCTGCAACAGCAATAAATAGTCTGCTACTATGAAAAATAGTATAGGGGAGTAAAATATGAAATTATACTGATAAATAATAAGGAAATAATCAGTTTTTATGTTCTTTTGTAAAAAACTCAATTTTTACATATGACCTTTTGCACTAACAGTAGCGTTAAATTTATGTAAAGTGAACAATTATTATTTAAATTAAATAAATAATTATTTATTAAGTGAAGTTTTTATAATAAGGCTAATCATAATCAAATTAGAAATTTGTTCTTGTCTCGTTTTATGCAAAAATTTTAATAATCATGTCAAAATTTTAAGTTCATGCTAATCTAAAGTTGGGTTTGTCGATTAATTTATTTGTCGAAATAAAAAAACTTCCACGTTATAGTACAATTTAATATATGAAATGTTATTCAATGAATTATACATTAACGTTTAGTTGCAGGTAAAAATAGATGGATATTAATCAATGAAGTAATATGTAATTGAAAATGAAAAAAAATATATA